TAGAAAAATCATGCTATTTCAATAAAAAAATATGACATTTTAATATAATTAACACATTTCCTATTAAGAGGAAAGTATTTCTAACCATAACAACAAAAGATTTTTGAGATTTATTTCATATTTCTTAAGTTTTACATTACACGAATGAGAAAAATGGTCAGAGCGGACATGAGAAAATGATTGCAGTTTAACATAAAAAGTTATAAATTTGCAAAATATATATTTATTATTCAATTTTATTTGTCCTCATGCTACCAACTAAACTTGAATCAATGGCTTTAGACACTTAAAGTTTTACTGAGAGTTTTATTATGCTTCTTATTCCTCTTTGAATGTTACGGACCCAAACTTAACAGTTTCCATGGACTGAACCTGAAAATGATCCTGATTCTTTGAGCTGGGCTCGTTTTCAGGTTTTCAATGTTTCTCAGCTTCAGCGAAGCCGATTCTATGACTGTAGTTCAGCAAAATCCCGTTAATCAGCTAAAACCTAAAACTTGAACCTTTCTGGGTCAGCCGGAACCAGGACTGGATCCTGAATGACCTCAGAGGAGAAGGTGGAGGCCCTGAGGAGCAGGTGTGGGTCAGACGCTGCCGCTTGCTGATGGTTTGGGGTTTCAGCTGTGAGGAAATGAGCGGGCGTTTTCAGGAAACGGGCTGATTGGAGATTTTTCAGGCTGAAACCGGCTTTTTTTTCTGTTTTTCAGGGAGAGGCTGGAAACAACGGAACTCGTGGAGAAGGTGGAAACCCAGGAAACCCGGTAAGCCCTTCCTGATCAGATCTGAGGAGACTTATTTCATGCTTTCAGGTTCTCCAAAAAAACGTTCAAGACATTTTAGCCAATTAGCTTTAATTAGTTTCTGCTGCTGATAAACATGATGGAGCAAAGAAGCCGGTCAGAGAAGACAGAGACCTCCAGAGGTGGAGTTAATGACTCAGGCTGTAGATCTGGATTAATAGACTCCAAACTGGAAAATGGATCCAAGGGAAACGGATCTATGGAGAGGAATTTGTTCCATTATTATTGAAAGGAAAGAAAATGATTCCAAAATAAAACTTTGGAAAACTTTTTTTGAGATGAGTTTATAATATTTATGTAAAGTTTCAACCAATGTTTCTACAGTTTGTTTTCAGGTTTATTCTTTATATGTATTGTATCTTTATTTATAGATATTTAATTTGCCAAACTTTTCAACAAAAAAAAGTTATACTTTGTTTTTCCAAGTTTTTTTCAGATATTTTTTCACATTTTCTTTTACAATGAAAGATACTTTTTTTTAATCCGTTTTCACATATTTTGCGTACTTGTGTGATCTGTGTGTGGATTTTATTGGTCCCTACAAAGAACGTCTAGAAGTTTAGAGGAGGAAATCTGTGAAACGAGATTTAAAACTTGTAAGGTTCCTGAAAAAAAAAGAAACTTTTGCATAAAGGTTAAAGGTTACTCTCCAAACCTTTTTTTTTCATGTTGATTGAGAAATTTTCCATGATTGAGAAAGTTCCATGTCTGAAATGTATTTTCTTCAAATTCTTTTTTTCAACATGTTCTGTGCTTCCAATAATGTCAGATTTCTTTCCATAGCTCATCACAGACTCATTGGACATTTTTTTTTGTACACCGTATTTATAAACACAGATTTTTTTTGTACACCGTATTTATAAACACAGATTTTTTTTTGCACCGTATTTATAAACACAGATTTTTTTTTTAGCACCAAATTTTAAACACTGATTTTTTTTTTTTTTACACATTACACATTACATTACATTACAAATTTTTGCAGGCAATTACCCTCAAAAAGTTCAGCTGCAAATAATTTGCAAGCTTCAAAAAATTTGCTCGCAAAAAATTCACCAACAAAAAATTCGCCTGCAAAAATTTCAGCTGAAAGTGTGTTGACCTTTTGGTGAACTCAAGCCAAAGCGATCTAAACTCAATGCAGGCGAGCAGCTTCTAGCCAATGAAATTAGCTCATTTGGTCACGTGACACAACAGACGGTCGTAGCTTTGTTCCCTGCTGAATTAAGCTGAACGAGGAGTTTTTCTTGTTAAGTAGAAATGATTACAAAATGTCAGGTATCTACTAATAGACAGCCATTGGAGTTTTTAATCAAAGCTCTTGGTTTGATCCGGAAGAAGCGGCCGGTGGCAAATTTTTTTGTTTTCTGACCAAATGTGCTGCTATCATTGGCTAAAAGCTGCTGACTGCATCTAGAGTAGATTGCTTTGGCTCGAGTTCACCAAAGGTCAACACATTTGCATTCTAGGTTTTGCAGGCAAATTCTTTTTGCAGCTCAATTTTTTGCAGGCAATTTTTTCTTTTACAAATTTTCACCAGATAAAAATTTAGTGTAAGAAATTCAACGTGTAACAAAAGTTAAGTGTTTAAAATCTGGCGTTTAAAAAAATTCAGTGTTAAAAAAAAAAAAAAAAAAAGGCAGATTCAAACGAGACAGTTTTTCTTCCATAATCACAAAGCCCGCCTTAACCAGCGTGGAACCAGCAACTCTTAACTTCAGTTCGTTAAAAACTTTTCATGATCTACTGGTGTTTCAGAGACCTGCTCTGATTAAACCAGTTCATCTGGAGAGGATTCAGGTTCCACTGGATCAGAGGAACTGTTTGGTGTTTTGTTTTGTTTTTCTCCTGGTCTGAGTCACCCCAGAGCAGCTGACCTCTGACCTTTTCCTCCACAGGGTATCCCTGGAACCAGAGGGGGACCAGGGTTGAAGGGACAGCGAGGGCTGAGAGGAGATCCGGTGAGTTTCTTCTTCTGCTTCTTATCTGAGCTGCAGAAATGAGGCTGAAACCTGCAGAGAAGCAGCATGAAGATGGAATCAATCAAATTCCAGGTTTTTAAGCCTTCAGGGATTTTTTTATTCCCTATGTCAGAATGACTGACCTCCTCCTCCGACGCATGAGGATTATTTAATCTCCAGATTAATGTGGAGACATGGCCACCCATAGCATTAACCTGAGATGAAGCAGCTGCTCTCTGGTTCAGCTGCAGCTCCGGCTCTGCAGCACGACGGGAATAATGTTGGATCATGGCTGACATGAAGCAGCGCTTCCTCCCTGATTTATGGTTCAATAAAAAGAACAAAGTGGAGCTCAAAGATTATCGGAGCTTCAGAGCCTGAAAATCCTTTAAGCGACTAAAGATCAGCTTCTGTCTGTCGGTTTTATTTCTCTGTGAAGAAGCAGACGGTCTGAACAGGAAGGATCCGGTTAAACCGACCTACTGTTAGCTGAACCTTTACCGAGGAGAGCAAGAAGAAGAAGTTCTCCTGGTTTCCATGGTAACGAGCAGTGTTGTATAGTAACGAAGTAAAAAAACTTCACTACTGTACTTAAGTATATTTTGGAGTACTTTATACTTTCCAAGAGTATAATTTTTTTGAGAACTTTCACTTTTACTTCACTACATTCACGAACTTAATTGCGTACTTTTACTCCGATACATTTTCAGTGTTTGGTTTAGTTACTAAGTAAAAAAAAAAAAAAAAAAAAACGAGCGAGAGAAAAGCAACTGTTTTGACCCCGCCTACTGACTACAAAGTTTAAATTTATCCTACACTTGGTTGTTTATATTATTTTAAGTGAATTTAACCTTCAAAGTTTACCAAAATGTAAAAGAAAATGTCATTCAAACTGCACTACTTTTTACTTATACTTTTCACTACATTACTTGAGTACGTCTATTTTTACAGTAATTCTTATACTTAAGTACGAGCCATTTCAGATACTTTAAGACTTTTACTCGAGTAACATTTCAGTCAGTGACTTGGACTTTAACCAAAGTAATATTTTGGAGAGGAACTTATACTTTTACTGGACTCTGAGATTTCAGTACTTTATCCAACACTGGTAACGAGACGCCTCTCTGGGATCTTTGGTTCTTTCCACAGCAGGAACACTGGTCCCTAAAAGTTCATGTAGTGGAGATGGATTAGAACGTGTTCAGAATTAAAGGGACGTCGGCCCCAAAATCAGATGCCTGTACTTCACCTGACTGACCAGTCTAACAGGCCCACAGCACCACTCTACCACCACCATACCTCTCAGTGGGAATGTTAGACGCACGGTTCGTGTCTGAAAGTTATGGGATGGGGGGGGTCACTAGATCATCAGAGAACCAGTTAATCCAGTATAAATGTATAGAAGAACCTGAAGAAGAGGACCAGCTTTAACTGACAGAAACGAGTCCAAACATTCAGGGACTTTGTGCTAAACACGAAAAATAGACTTTGATTTTAGATGTTCTGATCCAACATGCCTCGCCGAGTCTAACCTGTCCCTCGCCTAGTCTAACCTGTCCCTCGCCGAGTTCAACCTGTCCCTCGCCGAGTCTAACCTGTCCCTCGCCGAGTTCAACCTGTCCCTCGCCGAGTCTAACCTGTCCCTCGCCGAGTTCAACCTGTCCCTCGCCGAGTCCAACCTGTCCCTCACCAAGTCTAACCTGTCCCTCACCAAGTCTAACCTGTCCCTCGCCAAGTCTAACCTGTCCCTCGCCAAGTCTAACCTGTCCCTCGCCAAGTCTAACGTGTCCCTAGCCAAGTCTAACCTGTCCCTCACCAAGTCTAACCTGTCCCTCACCAAGTCTAACCTGTCCCTAGCCAAGTCTAACCTGTCCCTCGCCAAGTCTAACGTGTCCCTCGCCAAGTCTAACCTGTCCCTCGCCAAGTCTAACCTGTCCCTCGCCAAGTCTAACGTGTCCCTAGCCAAGTCTAAC